CATCTAAACAATAAGAGTAGCATAATAGAAGTACTATATAAATAGTTGTCGTACTGTATTGTTTAGGGCATAATGACAATAAAAGTCTGTACATGTTAAGTAGAGGTGAAAAATTTTTTCCATAAGATTTTTTCATATATGGTTGACCAGATTTGCATATGAAGAAACTACAAATAGGAAGGCCACTGTATGTTGTCATCATTGAATGGTGACTGTGACAACAACCCCCATTGATCTTCCTGCATTTAGTCTTGTCGCCCTTCCCTGTCCCTCTTCTCCAAAGACACATGTGGGGACTTTATGTTTGTTTTGTTTTTTTCTTGCCACTGAAGTTATCTTTGTCAATGTCAATGCAGCTTGCTGTCCTAATTTCATGATTCTTCTTTGGCTTCCAAAGTACCTCAGAATGAAGTCTGGATTTCTTAGTACAGTAGGTGGTCCTAGATGGGCAGGACTCCATCCATGTTGAGAACCCTTTCCTAGTTCAGTTTCCGCAGCTCTAAGCATACAAACATCACAAGCCCCCACATGTTCTCCTCCTTCAGTGCTGTTTGGTACATGACTTCTGCTATGGACCTTTCATTCTGCAAGATGGGTCTCTTGAATAGCAGAGCCTTTCCTTGTGCCCTCACAGACCTGGGCATGCCTTCCTTGCCTTGTGTTCTCCTTGAACAGAAACCCCTTGGCCTTCAAGTCTGTCTCTCTGAGGTAGGTTCCCTGAGAGCACATGACCTTTCTTGTAGCTGTGTCTTAGAGCCAGCATTTAGTGCCTGGCATTATAAAGGGCACACAGTGAAAACCTGAATCAACAAATAGCCACATGGCATGCTAGGTTGTATCCAAAGTCAGAAAAACAGACGAGCAGACAAGCAAGCAAATAAATAAATAATATAATTACTTCTCTCAATGACTTTATGTTCTTGAAGAGCAAGTAAGGTACAGAGAAACAGAATACAGCACTATGCCCATGCCATGGGAACTTTGAAGAGGACTCCACCTTGTGCTCTCCAGAGGCCAGAGAAGAGGGTTAAACAGGAGATTGATTAATCTCCTCCCAAGCCCTACGTACATCTGAATCTGAAGTGTAATCAACTTTGTGTAATCAACCAACCCCGTTTCTCACAATTTAGGCCCTTCACAGCAGGACTAGCACACGATGCCTAGGATAATTCCTCTTTAAAATTTAAAAAAATGCCGTTGAGTGAATTAATTCTGTTTCATATAAACTTTTAGAGAACAATATAAATCCCCTCCCTGTTTCTTTATTCTAAGTTTAAATGCCATTCTGAAGGCTTTAGGAATAAAGCATTCTGTTAAGTCATCCACATTTGCTCACCAAGGGGAAATTACTATATAAAAACAACAAGTTGAAATTCAAATACTTAGGGTCCTCCAACACAGCCCAGCTCAGTGCAGATGAAGAGCGTACCTTAACCAGCTCTCACAGAGCTCTTAGTCCACTGTAGGTCAGAAGGCCTATCCTGGACTTGAAGAATCAAAATGTGGTATTTTCTCATAAAATTATTAGAACCTAAAAATCCAGGAAATCTTTAATCTATAGGAGGTCAGCCGGTATGCTATCAGAAGCATGTCATCACGGAGAGATGGGTCCTCTGAACCTTTTGTTCAGGCACTCCTAGAAGAAGCCAGGCATCCATCCCCCTTTGACCTGAAGCCCAGGACAAACCAGTCAGCC